GAGTCTTTGCACACGTCTCAAGTTCTCCAATTTTTGTCCCCCGCCCCCTCCCGCACCAAGAGGTCTGAATGAAGCCATGTGGCCCAACTAGGGTTTTTCCCTTTGGAGGAGGGGTGGAGAAAAATAAAAAAAGTCACCCAGAGCTGAAAAATATTCTGATTCTGCTGCCCTCTGGCGTTCAACTGGGGAACAGCCAGCACACAGAGCTCTGAACCAAGGGGGGGCCCCAAAGGCTTCTATCTGTGGAGTAGAACCTTGTTTCTTTGATGAGAGGAGAAAGGGAAATGGTAGGGCAATGCATTTTGGGAGCTGAACAAGCGAGGCTGGCACCCCAATTGAACTGGAAGTGTATTTTCATGTGTCTTCTGGTCAGCCTCAGCCTTTCACAGGCATTCCACAGGTCTCGGAATATAAAACCCCAAAGGAATTGAAGCTACAAGTGAATCCAGCAACCCACTTTTTATGGAGGGGAAACTGAGGCCCAAGATTAGGAAGCCTGTTAATGTCACAGCTGGACTGACCACCACCTCCCTGGCTTCAGTCTTTCCTCTCTCTTCTCCTCCTCCTCCTCATCCCTCTCTTCTTTTATATCATCATTAAAATTTTTGTCACCCTCATGGTTAACACATGGTTAACTTACTGTGAGCCAGTCACTGTGCTAAGATGTGCCACACTGGCTATAGTATTTAATTCATGCAATAAGGCAACAACAATACAGATAGTTTGTGTCCATTTTGTGAATTAAAAAAACGAAGGCTCTGAGAAATACACTACTTGCTCAATTACCCAAAAAATAAGTGGCAGACTTCCTAGTCTCCCTGGAAGACTTTCTGCTCTGTTCTCTGTGCTATGCTGAGCTAAGGGCAGAGTAAAAAAAAAATCCCTGGAGCTTGCGGCTGAACAATAACAGCACAGTTGACCCTTGAACAATGTGGGGGTTAGGGACACAGACCCCCCCCCAAGCAGTCAAAAATCTGCATATAACTTTTGACTCCTCAAAACTTAACTACTAATAGCCCACTGTTGACTGGAAGCTTTGCCAATAACATAAACAGTCGGTTAACACATATTTTGCATATCATATGTCTCATATACTGTATTCTTACAATAAAGTAAGCTAGACATGTTATTAAGAAACTCGTAAGGAAGAGAAAATACAATCACAGTATTTATTGGAAAAAAACTGCATATAAGTGAACCTGTGCAGCTCAAACCCATGTGCAATTCAAGAGTCAACTGTATTTACTATGTGCCAGTACTGTTCTCAGCAAATGATATCTATTAACTCATTTAACCTCATATTATTCCTATAAATTAGTACTTTATAGTGCTATTATTATCCCCATTTGACAGCTAGGAAGACTGAGGCACAGAGAGGCTTAATAATTTGTTCTGGGTGCCACAGGCAGTAAGTGCAGAGACAGCATTCCAGCTCAGGCTGTCTGGCTGTGTTGCTCAGGCCCTTAACCATTGACAGACTGACTGTCCCTGAGATGCACAGGGAACCAGCTCTGGACTAATGAGGGACCCTGGGTATCCAGATCCCCTTGAGTTATGGCAAGGCAGTGTCAAGTCACCAAACCCTCAGTCAGGGGTCTGGAGCCATAGGATGTCATATAAAATAGTATCCCCATCCCCCTCCATCGCCTCACACTGCTTTCTTCTTCTTCAGGAGCTTCCTGGCATTGTTATAGTATATATTGAAATTGATTTCTTACTTATTTCTTGTTGCCCCCCACTAGAACATAAGGGCGACAGGGGTGACGACTCCATTGTACTCACCCCTCAATGTCCAGTGCTGTAGTAGTAGCTGCTCAGTACATATTTGTGGGATCTCCTTTGGCAAGTCTAAGGGTCCACCGAGACAGAAGGTGGTGCTGCAAGAAACGGCTGGCTTGTCCTGTGTCTGGGGGAAGCTGTTGCTGCCGGAACTAGGGATGATTCCCAGGCAAAAGAGAGATGATGAATGAGTTGGGGAAGAGATGCTTTGGAAATAGTGATGGGAAACAGGCATGGTCTCAGAGGAGAGCCATAGCCCTGGCTCTGACTACCATGAGATGTGCTTTCTCAAGTCCTTCCAAACTTGGGCGGGGAACAGACCCCATTTCCAGCGCCGACGACGGAAGTCCATTGTGCAAGGCAAAGCACTGGCCTCATGAAGAAAGGAAGGCTTGGCGAGAAGTTCAGGTGACCAGGTGGGAAGCCAGGTTCCTTGCTACGAGAGCAGAGCAGGCTGAGTTATCCCAGACTCCAAAGCCTAGCAGTTGGGGCCAAGGAGGTCTGTGAAGAGACTTACCCTCCTGGGTCCTCTGTTTCCTCATCTGTTAACTGAGGGTACTAACACCTCGCATGTCATGGGGCTGTGATGAGGATTGGGTGAGGTAGTACATGAAAGTGTTTATAGGACGGTGCCCGGCACACAGCAAGGGCCATCTAAGCATTAACCGAACCCCTCCGACAATGCCTGTTCTAATTGCATTATCTTGGGAGCCTATCTGAAGGTGTGGGCCGGGCTTTGGGGGCGTGGAAACTTCCAGCTGGGAAACTGCAAAGACAATCAGGCAGTTAGGCTCTGGGCCAGCCCTTCTAACCTGCGTGCACTGCCACCTTCCCGTGAGTGGTAGGATGGACTCACAGTCAAGACCTGAAGCCAGCCGGGAGTCAGCCGGGCCTGAGTTTGAATCCTGACGCTGCTGTTTCCTAGCAGTGTATCTGGGTTTGCCATTTAACCTCTCGGTACCTCAGTTTCCTCATTTGTACTACGGAGAGACTAATATTACCCACCTCATTGTTAAAATATTTAGAACAGTATTCAATGTTGGTTTTTATTACTGACATAGGCAGTAGAGAGTTTAGCACTTCAGACCTGTGGAAACAAGGCTTTATGTGAACCTGTATTAATGCTCTCAAGATAAGCGTTTTGTCTTGGTGGAATGTGGCTGATGGATTCTTGCCTGACGTTCCTACGTATAGATCATGGATGACATTTCCCGAGTTTGGCCACTAGATGGCATGCATGTTCTTTCTTGCCCTACCCAAGCAGGGACACCATCAGACCTAACAAGCGTTGAGATGGAAAACTGTCTTTTATGGGCCAGACGCGGGGTGGCGCCCTTTGCCTACATTCTCGTTTACTCCTCATATTAAAAGAGGCATTCCACAAAAAAGGCTTATCACAGTGCCTAGAACATGGTAAGGTCTCAACAAATGTTCCTTATTCTTCGAATTGTGGTTACTATTATTCCCATTTTTATAGAATTAGGGCTGAGGCACAGAGAAGGAGCCTGGATTCTAAGCCAGACCTGACTGACTGTAAATTCAGCATCTTCTCACCTAAACCTCTTTTCAGGGGAATGGGGCGAGGTGGGGCGGGGGGGAGGTGCCTTGGACTCACTTCACTGCCCCCCAACATGTCTACTTTTGCTCTCTGATTTCTTTCTGGAGCCACCACTTTCTTACTTCCTGTGTGATCTTAAAATCATTATTCAGGTTTTCAGACCCTCAGTCTTTCACCTGGACAGTAGGAGTCACAGTACCTCCCTAATTCTGGAGTTACTTCAGAAACAGCAACTAGACCAGAGTTGACACTCCATGGATGATGGTTACTGTGGTTAATGCCTTACATGGTAATATAATCAGACTTCCTTCCCCGCTCTGCCCATCCTCCCTTCCTCCCCCCTTCCTTTCCTTTCTTCTTTTCTACCTCTCTCCATCCCTTCTTCTTCCCTTCCTTTCCTCCATGCACCTGGAACTGCAGTGCACACATGGTTCCTGCTCTCATGGAACTTACAGTCTCTATGAGTGTCCTAGTCTCTGATCATTCCTGGGACATGTCCACCCCCAGTGTGTCTTTTTTCCTGTAGGCCACTCCCTCCTCCCCCACCCCCGCCCCCGCCCGGGGTCCCTCCCTCTGCAGGACCCAGTCACTGTAGGCTGCACAGCTCAGGCCCCATCTTCTCCTCCACTGTGCTGCTCCAAACGCCAGCCCACAGGTTCTTCGGTTCTTCCGGGCATCATCAAATCCCAGGCTACCCGACTGCATTCATTCCGCTTCACCAGTAGCTTTCCAATTGGCTTTGCCATCAGAAGATTCTGCCAGGATGCCTGGGGGCCTGTGGGAGGGAGACACGTGCTGGGAAGATGGGGTCTCAGGGGCTATTCCTTGCTTTAGCATGGAACAGCTCTGGCTTTATTTGATTTATATTCTGGGGTTCCATGTAATATTCTGCTGCTAAAGAAAAACTTCAAAAACTACTCTAGCATGATAGGTGGGAGGGAGCTGAATTCTGAGATAATTCAGAGACAATCTCCAGGAAATTGAATAGGTTTGGGAATGTGTTTTAAAATTAGATTCCAAGGTGCTAAGTGAAATAGGCCAGACAGAGAAAGACAAATGCTGCACGGTATCCTTATATATGAAACCTAGAAAAAAAGTTAAACTCATAGAAACAGAGAGTAGATAAGTGGTTGCCAGGGGCTGAGGGTGGGGGCAATCGGGAGAGGCTGGTAAAAGGGTACAGACTTCCAAGCATAAGGTGAATAAGGGCTGAGGAGCTAATGTAAAACCTGGTGACTATACTTGATAGCACTCTATCATATAGTTGAAATTTGCTGAGAGCAGAACTTAAATGTTTTTACCCCCCCCCCCAAAAGATAAATATGTGTGAGGTGATAGATGTGTTCCTTAACTAGATGGGGGAATGCTTTCACAGTGTTTATGTATATCAAATCACAATCATGTACCCTTTAAATATCTTATAGTTTTATCTGTCAATTATACCTCAATAAAGCTGAAATTAAAAAAAAAATCATAAAATTAGTTTCCAAGGAAAAAGGGATTTCACTTTAGAGTCATAGTAATTTGGGGGTTATCTGGAACCTCACTTGCCACCACCGTTGACTTGACCGACTGGGGCTGACCCCACATCTCTGACCTTGGTGTAACCTTTGGCCCTGTCCTGCCAACCTGCTGCTCAGGACTTTGCCTTTCTGTGTTGCAGTGCCCTGGTTCCCCAGAACCATTCAAGAGCTCGACAAATTTGCCAACCAGATTCTCAGCTATGGAGCGGAACTGGACGCCGACCACCCCGTGAGTCCGTGGCCCCACGGATGAGATGCTCCCCTTTCTTCCTTGCCTCCGTCCTACCCCATCCCCCACCTCCCTGGGAGCAATGGGTCTTCAGTTATTTGCTTACACAACAATCGTTTATTGAATGCCTACTTACCCATCATTACCATCTTGGTCATTTTTATTGTTGGAGCAAATCTGAACTATTTGTTTATATATAATACACATATGTAAGTATGTGTGTACACACACATATATGTGTAAGTCATCTTTATTTCCAACTTTGTACAATTCCAGAGGTTTAATTCAAGTGCTTGGGAAACAGTAAACTGTACTAACACCTCCGCCAGGTCCAGTGGGGCGTGGGGATAGTGACATTGGAACTGGATCTTACAGACTGAGTGGAAGATGCCAGGCAAATAAGAAAATGGGAAGCCTGACAGGCTGAGGAAGCAGTATGTGCAGAAGCTCAGAGTCCCGAATGAGCGAGAATATTCTAGAATGGCTGGTTGGTGTGTTAGGTGTGAGGGTCAGGTTTTTAAAGGCCTGATGATGTGCCAGACAGAGAGCTCAGGTTGCCCTGTGTTCTGTGGGCAGGGGACTGGGTCCTTTAATGGTTTCTGGGTAGAGGACTAGGCTGGGGAGATTTTATCCCCCTTTCCTCTGGGGGAGGGGGGTCCTGGGGAGAAGTGGCTCAGGCTGGGTTCAATGCCAGTGTGACAGCCTTCCTAGGGGAGAAGTGCCACCATCAAGCTGACTGACTGTCCTTTATTCTCCCTTAATCTTTTTAAATGACTTGAAAGCTGTTTTCATTCGCAGTGGTTTAGCATAACTCAGTGGGAGCGCCTGCATTTCATCAGGAGCCTGTTTTCTCCCCACATCTATGGGGGTCCTTACAGCTGAGTAAGTTGTGAACTATCCCCTTTGACAGGCCTGTGTCTGGGGCCTCTTGGCTGTGGGCCCAGAGAGCAAAGCATCTCCAAAGATATTGTTTCTCTGGAAAAGCTGCCTGGCTGCCTTTGACCCAGTCCATGGGATCGGCCCATCAGGGTCCTTCTGCCTCTTACCAGCCTCAGGCCTCCTGCCCTGACCCGCGCCCCTGCCGTTGGCAGCACCGCCCGCTTGTCTGGGGAAGTGGGAACCGAGACCAGTCCACAGACATGGCCGTTTCCTCCCTTTATCCTCGTGTCTCCTCAGAGGCAGATGGGGCTGACCTTAAAACTCTGGAATTCATTTCTCCTTACAGACCCAGCCCATATCTTTGGCTTCCTGGCCTCTCAGTGTCGTGAATTTTGTCATAAAAATGCAATTTATCAGGTACACAGTCCCCCCGATGAGAAGGCCAGGCTCTCTCTGTTCCCTCTTGTGGCTTCTCATCAGATCTGGGAACTGACAGGCCAAGGACAGAGTAAACCCTCCAGAGTGCTTCCCCACAGCCCTGCAGGCCCCACAGGCCCTGGCCTCAGTGAAGGGGGAGAGGCTCGGGTGTTCTCGCTCAAAGAACCCTCTGTTCCACTCAGTCCCCTGGCTTTCAGGAAGCTCTCGTCTTCCCCTGATCCCCTGCTCTTGCCAGCAGGCTCTGACGTTTAACCTAATATCTCACTGCAGGGTCTCCAAAACAGCTGCTCTGAGAAATGAGACCAGGGGAGGGTTGTTCCCGAAACAGAGGGTGCAGGGCATCGGCCTTTCGGGGCTCATGAAGTGAGAAAATGAAATAGGATAGCTGTACTCCTGCCTGTCCATCCCGCCTTCTTCCCTCTGTTGCTCGCGTCTTGCCTTCCCTCCATCCTTGCGACTCTTCTTCCTCCCACAAACATTTATTAAGCAAATGATATTCAGAGCTAACGTTTCCTGAGTGTGGACGGTATGCCAGGCACTATGCTAAATGCTTTACCTGCATTTAAAAAATTTTAAATGTTTTAACCCCTGGGAGGGTTATAATTTCTCATTGTCAGGTGAGAAATCTCAGAGAGGGTTGCATGGCCTCATGAGTGTGTGAACTGTGTCCCAGGCCATGTGCAGGACAAGGAGTTGAAACGATTAATAGGACGTGATCCCTGCCCTCCAGGGGTGGGGCAGAGTGGGGGAGGGGTGCCTGCTCTTCCCACTGGCAGGGCAGAGGGGACTGGGTTACGACCTTAAGCCTGATGATAGGCAGAATCCAGGGGGCTCTGTTTGATTTCCATTCCTGAAAGTGACTCCTTTCTCTGACTTTTCCCAGCTTCTGTGCTCCTGTCCATGTTGTTTCCTGGGCCTGGGATGCTTTGGCTTATCCTCCCAGCTGCTCTCTTCCTGCTGGAAAACCTCTATTCCTCCTTTAAGGCCCACTCATACATCCTTAAAGCCTTCCACCTACCTGTTCCCTCGGCCCAGTGATTTTCATGCTGATGCTCTAGAGCAGTGTGTACTGTGATTTATACTTGGAGTACAGAGTGTCAGATCTAAATACATTCACTACGTTATGACTTATAATGTCAGAAGAAGCCTAAGATACATATACACGAGTGAAAGAGTTATACGCACATTTCCCAAACTAGAGTCTGTGAAACAAAATCTCATGATCAGTGGGAGAAATCCTGTATTCTAGGGACCCCATTGTCAGCATTTACAAGTCCCATTATTTCATTAGAGGCTTTGGAAAGTCCTCCAAGAATGAAACCCATTTAACCTAATGTTTCTCAAACTTATTTACCCATGGAACCCCCTTTTAACCCCTAGCAGCAACATTATCTCGAATGGTAGTGTTCCATGGAACACAATTTGGGTAATATTTGGTTCAGTGACAAAACAAAAAAGGTACGTGATGAAACACCAGGTTTAAGGCATCAGATAATATATGCTATCAGTTCCAAGGTCACTGTGGACTGGAATGGTTAAGGGGGGGGGCGCTCCTGGAAAGAGGGAGATCTGAATTAAGCCCTCTAGCAACCAGCATAGACTAACTGCTTATCATATAACCCCTAAATCTCAATGGCTTAACCCGAAGAAAGTTTATTTGCAGTGTAGTCAGTAGGGAAATTGTTCCACGCAGTGTTGCGGAGATCATATGGTCTTCCACCTAATGGCTGCGCCCTCCTCCAAGTCCTTGAAGCCCTCTGCATTCTGCCAGTGCAGGGAAAAGAGAGTGAAAGAGAGTGAGACTTGCTCTCGGGAGGTTTTACGGGCCAGGGTTGAAGGCGACTCACACCCCCCGACTCTAATTCTATTGACTACAGCTCAGCCAGTCTCAGGGCCAGTACTGACTACAAAGGAGACAGAGAAAAGTAGGTCAACAGTGTTCTCTGAAAGATGGAGGAGGGGACAGAGCTTGGGGAGCACCAGCAGCCCCTACCCTACAGACCCTAACCCCAGAGCTCCCTGGTTCAGTTTCCTGAGCATCCACACCTGTGTCTAGGTGAAGACCTGCACTAGAGGGGGCTTCCTGATGGACAAAATGTCCGCCAACACAACTACTCTTCTGTGTTTATTTCTCCCTTTTTATCCAAGTCTTTCTTACTGCTTTTCCATCTTTCCAGGTGTAGGTATTGCCTTTTCCTACTTGCCAACAAGAACCTTGCTCTTGCCCAAGAGCAGAACTCTAGTTCTAGTACTTCTCTCCTTTGCTCTTACGGCCACCCAGCCTTCTCCACCTGACGGCCCTGATGGAATTTATCCTAAGGGCCAGGCAGCCAGTTGAGTCATCAAAGATTTGTTGCACTCCTACTAAGTTGCTCTGTCAAAGTACAGTTTTCACAAAGTTAGAAACAGCTGTCATACAGGTATAGCTAGTGAACACCTGTCAGTGATCCATTGACTGAGTGGTGAGGGACACAGCAAGATGACAAAGGTGGTGCGAAGGAAGATATAAGAGGCCCGAGGATATATGGTCATTGAGAAATAGAATAAGACCACAAAGATGGCTACACAAATTCTTAATGTCCTGTAACGCAATAAAGACATAATTCTGAGTGATCTCTTGTCTACTGGGCAGGAATCATTTGCAATTTGATCATAAAATAAGTGTTGCAACTCATTCTGTAAGTCAGGATCTAACTTCAAAGAGCTTGGGCCTTACTAGGTAGTAAATTGCACATCAAACCAATATACGTGCCCCTAGAGTTCCCAGTGAGCTTGCTAAACAGTGATCTAATATGACTTTGAAAAGGCACAGCAATTTTTTTTGCCTAAGTTTTGCATAATTTTCTAACAACTCTTACCCAGGGGTGTGCTGAGCATGCCATGCTTGGAAAATCCAGTGATAGGACACATTCCCGAGTTTAATAATGATTAACAAGTATGATTGTTGGAAGGGAGAAACACTTGGATTGCTGAGGGAGCAAACTATAGAGGAAAACCAATAAACATCAATGAAGATCTCTAAAAGTATAATTTTAACCAAGATGGAAAGGCCAAGTAGTAGCTCATTGGTCTGAGAGAGTGGGGGAAAGTATTCCAATCAGAGGGAACAGCATATGTGAAGGCCTCAGTGTGGTAAAAAGCATGTGTTTAAATAATTAAACTAAGACCAATCTGGACAAATTTGGAGACATAATATGTAGGCAATTGTAGGTCAGTACAGAGAAATGTAGGCGGAGCCAAATCACAGAAAGCCTATAGACTATGTTACGGATTTTGAACTTTAACCTAAACATGATGAGAAGCCCCTGAAAGTTCTTAAGGGAAGGAGGGGCCCCAGCAGACTTGTATTTTATCAGTCTACTTAGGCTGAAGTGAGTTGTGGAGTTGTGGAGACGAGACAAAGAAAGGCCACTTGGAAAGCAGTTAATAGTAGTCCAGGCAGAAAATGATGGGGGCCTGAGTTAAGGGAGAGCAGTGAGAGAACAAAGTAAAAAGGACAAACTCAAAATATTTGGAAGGAAGAATGGACATAAATTGGTGGTTGGATGTGAAGGAAGAGAGGAGGAGAGAAGTAAAACAATGACTCCCAGGTAACTGGCTTGGGCAACCAGGTATCCGAATCCTTTCCAGAACAGGATTCTTGGCTTTGTTGATGGCAACCATGGCCAGCAACGCAGAATGGG